CATGAGGAAAGTCACTGGTTCGATTCCAGCTCGGAGTGGGTAGGGTGGTGTAGGACCAGCGGGGTTGCATTGGTGCCGTGACCCTGATGGGAGTTTGGTTTAGGGGGTGAGTGTAATGGAGGCCAGCTAGTGAAGTGCTGTGCAAGTACTATAAACCTCACTCCTCTGACATTTAAAAGGTGCTCCAGCGACAGACACTAGAGGCCATGGTCTTTAACCTCCTTGCAGTAGCAACTGCCTTCCATGTGAAAGTTCGCCGGCTGGATCCCAGCTCAGATAGGATTGGGTGGTGTAGGACCAGCGGGGTTACATCTATATAAAGAAGTGATATTAAAAAAACATGATTTGTCCCATTAAGTGTTCCTTATTGTAAAAAAAAAAAAAATATGATGCCTGTATTCATTACTGAGCACCTCAAGCATTTCTAATGACTTTATATTCTCTACTGCCATTTATCTAAAAAAAAACAAACATATTCAGCTGTTTTTTTCTCTGTGTCTTTGTAACAATATATTGTTTTCCCCCACTAGAGGCAAAGCATGATGAATCACTGGGTGAGAGAGAGGGCAGACGACCAGCCAGGTCAACACGCAGGACATCGCAGAGCATCCTGTAGATTTATATCAGGGCACACTACAATACAGAAAGGCAACTTACTCACTGTTAAAAACCAGCTTGAGCTACTTGCTTCCATTACTACGATAATCTGCTTCTGTAACTGATCATTCACACTCAACCACACACATACAAGCTCTCACAAGAAGTCGTTTTTCCCTTGTTTGCGCATGCATTTGCTTGTGTGTGAGTGTGCAACGTGCATGATTAACTGTTTAAACACACATTTCTGGCCCTCTGCCTCGAGAGATGATGTACAATAGCACTGATTCACATCATCGCCTGTGTATTTTTGTAGGTCAGTTTCACGCTTCAAAATTTCAGACATGCACGCATACACACACACACACGCGCGCGTGCGCGCACAAAAATGCAGCGCTCAAATCTTTGTTGTCGAAAAGCATGTCCGCAGTAATAGACTGTCTGTAAGCACTCAAAAACAAGAAAATGATTCCGTGTTCTTCCGCTAAGTTCCTCCCTGAGGCGCACAGGCAGCTCCACCAGATAACCCGCTGCAGAGATGTACCATCCAGGCCAGTTTCTGTAGCAATTATAGAGACGTGCTGCTGTAACCAGCTGCAAACAAATTGAGCTATAGTGCTATGATTCTGCTGTAACTGCTATACGACTCCTAACATCAAAACTCTGTCTCCGTGACGAGGGTTAAATCGAGCCGCGGACTAAATTTTACTGTTAATGGTGCTTTTTTCCGCTGAGAATCATTTTGCCGTCCTGGACTATAAGTTCCATCCAGGAAATCGTCCCTGAGAGTCTAATGCCGTCCTAAAATAGGCTTTAAATGAGTACGGCAAGAGAAGCGTCGAGTGTTTTAATAGGTTTCAACTGAACGAGGGCTTGGGAAGGAGAAGAGAGAATAACGTCTGACCTCTTTTCACCTGTTCGTGCCGTTTTATTGACCCGTTCCAGTGGCAGAAAGGAGCCAATTCGCCAGGGGCCAATAAGAATCTGTTTAATCGTAGACAGAGATGTTTAAACGTAAAAATATAGAGCAAAATGACCTTTCTATTGCTGGCTTAGTGTTGTGTCTGTATAAATGTCATTCTCTATCTCTCTCTCTCTATCTGTGTTATTGTGTGTGTGGAGTAGTAATAGAGGTCAAATGTGTGTAGTGGATTTAAAGCACATGCTCACGACACATTTGAGCAGTTGCGCTCACAGGAACGCAGGTCTGGCCTTGTGTCATAATTCAGTCTCATTCTTCATCATTGTCTCTCTCCATCATCCTAAAGGCCACACGTTAATAAAAAAGGCTGCTGTCATTAACCACTGCAGCAATGCCTTTACTATTTGACTGACTGCACTGCACACAGTATTTAGAGGTGCAGTGTGTAAATTCTGTGGGTGTAAAAATGCTATTTATGCTGTACAAAATCTATACTGTAGAAAAAAAAAACAGTTCATTTGTAAACTATAAGTTACCTTACCATATATGGCAGTAGGGCTGCATGATATTGAAAAAATCTAACACTGCAATTTTTTTATTCTGTGATATATATTGCGATATGAATACAATTTCATTAGATGAGTTGATTAACTATTTAAAAGAATTTATCATTTTAGATTGAGAGATTCTCTAGCATATTGCGTAAAATATAATAATCTAGGATCAAAGATTCAATAAAGATAAAGATACAAATTAAATAAACAGTGTTTACATTTTTTAGAAAGAAGTCGAAATGTATTTAGGTATACAGTAATTGAATAATTAAATGCAAAATTATACCCTAATAATTATACCCTATACTAACCCCTTTGTTATTGTTGCAATTACCTTTTTTTAATTCATTTACTTATTTTATATTTATTTTTTTAATTACCAGTTCCTAATCTGTTTTTTTTTTTGTTATTATTTTTAAGTTTTGTATGTTGTCCTGGAATGGTTTTGTTTTCATGTGATGTTCAAATGTTTATATGTCTTGCTTTAATGTTGAGAAAAACCCAATAAAATATTGAAATAAAAAAATTATAATAATAATACAGCATAGTCTTCAGTTTATAAACAATTCAATAAAATCAATCATGGCCAATTTGTCAAAGTTACAAACATTACAATTTCTCATGCCTGAATGCTTTTAAAATTCACACAGTCATGCGCCTCAACAAAACACATGTGAAATGATAAATTATAATCCAGACTCAACTTCGTATATACTCACGATGTGACTATTGCAATGTGACTATATCAATGCTGTAACAATGTATTGTGCAGTCAGAATATATAGTGAACAATTGTAAATGGTTTAGCATTACATTATGTCTTTTTCAAGAGTTCACTCTTAGATATTGCTTGATAATAATAGCAGGTTTGACATGTTGTTCCGGGAGAGAACCCTGAGCTTGGAGATAATTAAGTCCAGGGCTGGTCAATGAGTATGTAAGGGGGTACGAGATGAGATAGTTCTCGAAAGGGGGAGAGGGGGTGGATGGCGGGGTTTCTTCAAAAAACAAAGGGAGTAGTTTTGGACAGGCTACTTACAGTATATTGAGTTTGGAATAATCTGATTGGCTTACTAATGATTACAGATGAAGGACCAGCCACGATCAATCATATCCTTTGCTTCTCTCAAAATTAGTGTCTGAAACTTTAAAAAGTCAATTTGGATGAATTGAATGTTTTTCAAGTTTGCGTGAAAATGTTTAATTAAACATTTATAATCAAAAATGTTTTTCGAGCATGAAATTGAAATAATTCCTGAAGGATCACGTGACAGTGAAGACTGATACAACTGCTGCTAAAATTCAGCTTTGTAAATTACATTTTAAAATATACTAACATTATTACTGTAGTTTTAATGAATAACTGCAGCATATTAATACTAATAACTGGCATGTTTAAGATACTTCCTTTAAAAACATTAATACAATATTTTGTTTTCAAACCCTGGACAGGTAATATATATTTTATAGTCACTGTACAGTATATCAGGTTTCTTCAAATCAAATTTAAGACTTATTAAGACCCTTTAAGACCATTATGAATGGAATTTCAGACTTATACAGGGCTAAATACTAAGGATTTTTTTCTACTGGCCTGGTTACTTCTGTAAATAGTTTCTGTATTAATGAGTGAATTTAAGATATTTTAAGACCCAAAAGACACCCTGTATATAATAATTAGTGAACATTTGATAGATTTCTGATAAACACAGCCATAAAAGGGTGTGTGCAAGGAAAAAGAATGTTACAAAACAATTTTTAACATGTTGTTGTCTTAAAGGTGATATATTAACTGATCTTCTTCTCGAGTATGATATGTTTTGCATACCAACGAAGCAGTTTTGCAGAAGTAGATGAAGCTTGTCTAAAATTAACTTGAGCTTTGCAGGGAAACTTCCTGTGAGCACAGATTTTGCAAGTCTAGTGCTTTTTAACGGTGTGCAAAGAATTCACAGAAAAAGAGGACGTATGTATGGGTGCGGCCAATGGAGGACTAGAGAATGATTGACAAGTGACGTGTTCCACTAAACTCCACCTGTTAATATCAGATGCATATTTAAGTCAGGAAATGAAAACTCTGCGCACCCCAGAATGTAACTCTTGCATTGCATTGAGGATAACAGAATTCTGCAAATTATTCGAATTATTCATTTGTATCCATTAAATTACTAATATGTTTGACATTAAAGAAAACCCTCTCCTGACCTTTTTTACCGAACACACATGGAATGGTTTGAATATTTCAACAGATGTAAAATGTCATCCATATTGAGGAACATTGTCCATGTTAACGTTCAATACTTTTTGATTTTCTTGTTTTATTTTGTTTCTTAAATAATAAAGAATGCTAAATGACTAAAAGTACATGTAAATAATAATGTAAATAATGTATAGTTGACAATAACCAAACAAAAACCTTTTTTTCCTTATCCTGTGTTCAGTGTTGCAGAAATACATATCACGTTTCAATAATAGTAGATGAAATGAATTTAAAGAGAAAGTTAAGGCACTCTCACATTTCAAATAATACAAATTTTTTCATCTCTGAAACACACACACACACACACACACACATATACACACACAAACAAATAAATGGTGGATAATGACTGAATCAAAAAGCACACAAAGTAGACCATATGACTCACAGATTCTGAGTCTTCTGAAATCATATGATAGCTTTCAGTGATGAGCAGACTGAAAAGCTGTTATTCAATGAAAAACTTGTGCATTAATGATACACTCAGAAAAGTCGTTGTTAACAGCATGGCACAGAAAGTGCACCTGAAGCAAATAATAAGCCAAATGAAAAATAACACCTCACTCTCTCCACAAAAACGGCTGACCGACCCCTTTTTTTCCAGCTACACAATCACAGCAGTGTCTCACATACAGATTCAGGCTGAAGAGGAGTCACGCGGTACTACCTGTCACGCTCAGATAGGTCGTCCTCCGCACCAGGAAGCCTCCGAAAAGCAGCTCACAGGTGTAGTTGCCGATGTCGTCCTCCCTCACGTCCTGAATGGCGAGTAGGTCTGCAGTCTGGAGCACGCTGCTTCTCCACTGCTGCACATTACACTCCTGCACACAGGAAAAAACAAAACAAAACAATGTATAGGGAAATAAAAGACAACACTGCTAAATACAAACAGACCATTTGTATATAGGCATGATGGATAATCTCTGAGGGGAATTCAATGAATAGAATAAACTGCACTTTGATGTCAGCATGCAAATCAAATACAGTAAATATGGAAAGCAGCTTTAGCCACTGGGAAAAAAAGTTGGTACTGACAGTTTATCTCAGAGTTCTGATGATTTTTCTCACAATTACTTTTTTTTTTAGGATGCTTCTTAACATTTTGAGAATGCATTTCATAATTTAAGGGAGGTGAACATTTTCAGTAATGTTAGTTTGTGTTATACACACTTCAGTGAATCAAATGTATGGATTTATTTAAATTGCATAAAATTATTAATAAAATATATTTAAGTTATCAGTGTTTTGCAGGTTATTTAGTGTATTGTGACCTACAATATCCTCTAATTAACCATGTCAGAAGTTACTGTGGGTTAAACTATGCAGCTATTTTTACTTTACTTTTAAATGCAGAAATAAACACCTATATTACAAGAAAAGTGTCTTGTGAATACTTACAATGTCTATTGGTGCTTTAGATCTGCATGATTTATGCATTCACAATGGTATGAACCTTTACAGGGGTGCTCAAATGTATATTTAAATGATTTGTTATTTTAATTATTAATAATACTATTTATTATACAGATCAGAGCAAACTATATCTCACTATTTAGAGACTGACCCCCCCATACATGTTGTTTTGACAGAGGGATCAAACATTAATTAGAAGGGTCTATCTCCACCAAACCCCCCTCTAATTCGCACCCTGGTTAGAAACGCACAGTTAATTCTAAGAAAAATAT